CATCATAGTGGAGATACGTGATGCTGCCTTTGTGAATAAGCTCAGCCGTTAGTTGTTCAACCATTAAAAAATTTCAACACAAATTTTACACAACGGAACACATACACGGAAGCGTAGAAGTCGTAAAATTTAAACGAATAAATCTAAGCACAATAAATCAGTTCAAATTAACCGCAACAAAATGATTTCAATTGACCGGGAGCTATAACGTACACGAGAAGTTCACTCTTAGCTATTTTTAATATCTGGAGCATGAACAACTCAAAGAAACTGGAGGCATGAAATTTGGCTTAAATCACGAATGATTTAAATCAAGTTTAATTCACGAATCAAAATTGATTCGTGATTTGAAATGATTTTAAATCAAAAAACAAAATTGATTCTTTAATTAAAATTATTTAAATCAAAATTGATTCGTCAATAAAAATCTTTAAAATCAAAATTGATTTATGAATTAAAATTATTTAAATTGAAAATCAAAATTTTTTCGTGAATTATAATAATCGTAATTGAGAATCAAATTGCCTTAAATCACCAAAAATAGCCATTTTCAGACCTTTTTTGCACGTTTTTCGACATATATTATTGTCTACATTATGTGTTACACTGTAAGACCCACTACAAAACTTTATCAGGCAGTAGTTGACATCTTTAGGAAGCTTTATACATATAGTTTAGAAAATGAAAGTCCGATTCGAACTCGATTAAATTTCTTGTTTTTTGTTTTTTTTTTCAAATTTTTTAAGCTTTCCACTTTCCGACATAGCTCCAATCACTTAGGCCTACTTTTTTTCTGAAAATTTGGAAAATTTTCAACAAAAAAGCTTATGGGCACTTTTACTTTTGAATCATTCTACCCTGATCCAGGAATTATTTGAATATTTGTGATTTTTCATGAATTTCGAAAAAACGCTAAAATGGCCAACTTTGGGCCTCTGAAAAAGTGTCATAAAAGGCCCCAATTTTTCTATAAATTTTTTTGGACAAATCTGACATCAAATACAACAAGTTTTTGATATTTGCAGAAAACAAATTTTTTTGGCCATTCGATTTCACAGAGAATCGGCCATATATTGATGTATGTGAAGTAGTAGACGTGTCGCTGCTAGGTGGCATAGAGCAAAAATGTAATTCACGCGAATGAATTGATTAAGTATGTGAATTAAATAAAACTAAGGAAGCTTGTTATTTTGGAAGCCTTGAGAGAGGTGAAAGAGAGGTGAATAAATAAATGTGAGTTCTTTGAAAAGGGAATCTCGATTAGTTTCTTTCATCTCCCTCCCATTAACCCTCCTCGCTCAGTCGAAACCTCGGTCGTACAGTACCTGGCAACTAACGGATGGCTCGCTACATCTAGTAGCTCGAGCAGGCAGTTTTCCTTATTGGAAGAAAGTACGAAGAGGCTAAATAAAAAAATTAATTAAAATAGTATAAATTATTCTTAATATTATAAATTATTATTATAGCACAAGAGCATAAAACTAGCAGCAAAGTTGCAATTTTTTGGTTAGTGCTATAAATTACTAATAACTTTATTCTCCTTTCCTGATACTATATTTATTTATTATTATGATGGATTAAGATAAAAAAAGTCATTTAACTAAAAATTCAAAAAATTAAGGATTTTTATTGGCTATCTGTTTAAGGGCGAGAAAGAATAATACCGGAATTGTTACGTCATACCATTTAATAATTACAATTTCAATTATATATATGTATAATATATATGTTCATGTTTATATGTAATAATATTTCTTATACACTTACGGTGTATATGTTTTCTATATGTATATAAGTTACTCAGATTATAATTTTACGTAAAAGGTATTTTCAAGTTTTTTAATTAGACTATAATTTAATTACGTATATTACATGGAATGAAGTAACATCATCTCTTAAAACGCTAGTCTGATACCGTGATATTCGTTGAGTTTTGAGAAAAACAATTGATTCGCCACATGAATGGGCTTGCATGTATTATCTTTATCTTGTATATGAATGGTTTGCAAATTTCTATCTATCAAATGTCATTATCGATCGCATCACAAACACAAATCTAGCTCGCATTTACCATACAGAGTAAGAGCTTATTCTTACAATCTCAGCTTTGAGGGTAAAAAAAAAGGTTTTGTTTGACAACTCACAACAAAGTACATTGATGATTAACGCCTAATATTCAAATGAATCAAAAATATTTCAATGTATTTTTCCCTTACACGTTTGGTTTATTTCCCAAGGAGTAATTCGTATTTATATAGTGATAATTCTATATTTATGATCGGTTAGGTACGAACAGAAACGTGTTGCAAACGACACGTGGCGCTTTAATATCAACAATAAAAAAATGAAACAAACAAAGTACAATATATTATTAACACTCGTAGCAAAGTCACGCATTCTTTAACACAATAAGACACTTAATTTTATAATGGCTCAAAACGTTAATACAGAGTAGTAGAGGTCGTGCCTGTGTTAAAGTAAGCTGCAATAATAACAATAGTATACGGATTAGCATAGACAGAGCCACTACTTCGCTGTGTTTACACTTTTGAACTATTGCAAAATTGAATACTTTATAGTGTAAGTGTGCATATTACAAACTCATTTTTCAATTTTTCTTGTGATACTGATGATAATTATCAAGTTTAAAAACAGTGATGCGAACATCACATTGAAATTTGAATTGTTTTACTGTATACAATTCTAATTTAATTAATTATAGTATCAATAATCTTTATTCGTTTTTCTTCCGATTGAACTCATTAGTCAATCATACAATGATCTGCCAAGGGTCGAAATGAGCTTCCTATTATCAAGAGCAATTTTTTTTATTTTTCCAATATTTGAATTAATTGTTTAATTTGTGCTAATATAGTTGACTTTGACACTCGTCGTTTATCATATATGAGTACGTAACTATAAAATAATACAATACATTACGTATGAATAGAACAATTTTTCATTACTTACGACACTATTATTTACACATCGATAATTTTTTTTATCATACTTTTCAAACTCTGTTCGGTTACTCATTCTAGACAAATAAAAGATGCCTAAATTAATATTTCAAAAGCATGAAGTTAAAATGGAAATATTTCATAGTGAAAACGTCAGTACGAATTTTCATTTTCTTTCAACATAGAAAAGAAACGAATTAATATGTGAATAATTCAAATAAGTGTAATTTTATTCTATTAATTAATTTTTCAACAGCAGTGTAAATTGTCATATCGTGAATTAATTAACGATTTTAATAATGAAAAAAGTATTTTAGTCAAGTATAGCTATTAAAAATGTTCAGATTCACGAGTTTAACATGTGTTTGGGGCGAGATATACTAATTCAATAAGTTTCACCTAAATTTAACAACTTTATCAAATTACAGTACATTCTCATTTTGCATATCTCCATAATATATATGCTCTTCGTCTCTAGTGACTGATGGAAATAGCAAAGTGCGCTACTATTATTATTAATTTTTTATAATATATGATTGTAACCGATTACACAAGAGTTTGAAAGATTTTCCCTGTATTACTCCGAATTTGCTCATCTCTTTTTCATCTTACTGTACTCAGGCTATACACAATTTTATTTATACACAGCGTTTTTGTTTTTGTCTTCTAGAAATGTAATTTATTTCTCTCTCAAATTAATAGGTCCAGCACTCGGTTCACATGTAGTGAAACGGCTTTCAATATATCACAAACATCATAATTCACGCGCCTATCATTATTACTTCATTGCATACATGAGACAAAGATATTTTCATATTTTTAGGTAAAATTTACATTCATCGTATATAATCAGTGCCGCGTTTGACTGTTTAAAGTACATGTTTATTGCAGTTCGCTTTTAATGTTATCTAAATGAACATAAAAAAGTACTTTGAAACCAAAAATTTGACGTTGAAACGTAGTGCATACACAGTTTAGTCATAGATACGATACGCTCCCCGACCGTAACCGCTACAGTCTTGCCTTAATGTAATCAATGTATATAAACACGAAGAATGTAATTCGCTAATGTTCATTCACATACTATTAACCGTCTTTTCAACAATTTATTCGTGCGAAGATTTGTATAATTGGTTTTTACTTTTTTATGAATTAAAATGTTTTTATTTAAGTTTTACGTGACATTGTTTTATTTTTTGCACGTACGAGTCTCAAATACCAAAGTAAATATTAAAAAAGTTTTACAGCAATTAAAAATTGAAAAAAATATTTAAAAAGCTTACATATCGTGTTCTACCAAAAATATGTTGTACGACAAAAATAGGCCATAGTTGTTTTTTTCATATAGGGTAGTCAGACCAATCAATGACCGCGGGTACCAGTGAATGACCATTTTGGAAAATATCATATAAAAAACAATTAAAATTTATTTGTATGGACGTAATTCAATTCTTCAGTGAACGATGCATCTTGTTTTCTATGTTCGATCATAATTTAACAAGGAAAAACGATAATTATGGCACATCCAAAAGTGGTCATTTACTGGTCGAAAGCGGTCAATCACTGGTATAAGTACCCTAAATACTTTTTTTATTTTTGTAAGACCAATTACAATGAAAATATAAGTCATGTTCCAAAATTCAGGCGTATGCGTTTTTTTACAAAAAAATAAAGGGCGTGGCGTATTTTCAGTGAAACACCATAGGTTTTCAAAAAAGCATAAAGAAATTACATTCCTAAGTATTATTAATAAATAGTGCTCCAGATTGAGTTTGTTTCCGGATCTCAGCTATAATGCAGGATCAATTTTCTCAGGTACAAAATTAATTATTTTTCAAAACAAAGCTTTTATTACATCGTGTAGTTTTTATTGAGATAAAAATTTGAGAATTATTTTTAAAAAAATCAACGAATACATTTATTATACATTCAAGAACCTTTTGAGTAAACTAAATCGAATATTATTATAAAATACTTTTTACAGCACTACATATTATTTTTCTTAAAAATGAAGCCTCATTTTTGTAATATAAATCTGGGGCACTAATTTTGAAATAAATAGTGAACTTTACAATTATCGACAATTTAAATGTTGATAATATTTTTCTTGATAATCAGAAATAAGATGAATAATTTTTTTGGTACATTCATTGCATCAGCAAAAGAGTGCGTTTCATTCAAGTCTAAACGTAAAGAAACTTCGCGTAAATCAAAAAACTCAAATCTTAGTGGTATTATTTGTAATTTTTGATTATTTATTGATTATCGCAGACAAATATCAAATCACAATGTCATCATTCCATTTATAACAAAAAATATACATTCAGAGATATTATTAAATGTGAAATATTCTCTCATACTCATCATACCACAAAAATATTAATCACTAAAAACACTTTGAGCATTAGCAGGCACCTTATATTCTAATATAGTTATACAGAAATGAATATAAGTGATTACCGAGCAGATATTTATTGTATTTTATCAATACAAACTACTTTTTCTTAAACTTATTATCCTTTTCTTATGTCGATAATTGAGATATTGCATTTATCATCGGTCTTATTTCGCTTTTTCATCATTTATCTATACATTGATATAATATATTTATAAAATTTTTCCGTTATTTTACTATATATATATTAAATCTATATTATATTTATAAATCCTAGTCACGGACTCTTCGATATGAATTCCCATATCGAGGAAAATATAATAATTGAGAGTTAAACGGAGCCGCACAAAAATTCAAGTAATTAAAACGCATTAAACGCAATCGTAAATTTTATAACACAATTTTATCCATAAAATTGAAAGAAATTTTATACATCTTTTCATAACATTTCATATTTGCGAAAAGTGACGTTTGTTCCTACAACCATGCACAAATTTACTAAAAATAGCATCGATATCTTAATACATGTCAATTGAGATTGTGCGCGTCCTGTATAAGTTATTCACAAGTGACCCATGAGAATGGGTAAATTCCAAAGTATTGTTCTCTCATTTTCAGTTATTTAAAACGTGGCTAATACATTACTTAATCACTAGAGTTTTGGGTTATCCTCGCCCGCTGAGGTCAACTCCTTTTATTTTTTTTAATGAGTCCCTTTTCTGCCTCATGGCTGCCTTCGTAGAATCTCAGCGATAGAATTTTGACCCTCGTTACACAGGTCGATGCTGATCGTTGCTCCACTGGCATTGAGTTTGCGTATCTATGTGTATGAATTATAATTTACGAGTGCGAGGAAGAAAAGGTTTCACGATGAAAAAAACTTTTATTCGGGAGTCTCTCGGAGCGCGTCCAGTCTGTTGCTCGTGTTATGTTATTTTGACGATTTTTTTTTATTTTCGAAATTCATAACTTCACTTGCGTGTGTCAGGCATGATAGCAAGAACTTTAGGCAGAAACTTGGTCGAGACAATGGACTTCCCCTTTCTCGATCGGAGCATCTCTTTTATTAGCTTATAATTCGGCTTTCAGAAGGTTTGGTGTATTCTTCGAATGTCGTAATACACATGGAAAATTATTCATCCTCGTTAATTTCGTCGGCTGCGCCTATATCTTTGCCATTCGTCATTGATGAAAAATATAGCTTCAATTGGTTGAACATAAAACGGCGCACTTATTTACACTGAATCGCAGTAGAACAATTTTCGAAGGAAGAAAAAGAGAAGGGTGAAAGTACATATTTATATGGCGCGCGCGCGCGTGTGTGTGCTGTGTCAGTGCGAGGAGGTGCGGTGTTTCTCGCGTGCGATCGGCCTACAATAATTATAATCGATCGCGCGCACTGCACGCGAGCATCTCTCGAAGTTGCGGCTCGAAAACGCACAGACTTCACACACACACACACACGCACGTGCAGGCTCCTCCTCTAATTTATTGAGTACTTCTCTGCGTGAAATCAATAACATTGCTCTTACACAGCTTGCATACGAAAAATATAACGATCGCAGCGAGCGAGAAAGAGAGAAAGCCAGTTTCGATGCCCGTAGCCACGAACGGTCGTGGCTGTCGTGGTGGTAGCGCAATTTTTTTAGCGTACGCGCGCGCGGCAGCCAATTATTATTATCGGGCCGCGGCTTAAAAGTTCTGCTCGCCATACATGCCGGGAAACCGGACGGCGTGAGTTCCGAGCTCAGCGGACGAGAACTCGTCCTATGTGGCCAGATGAGCGAACTGGCCCGGGTGCGGCGCAAACTGATAAGGATGCGCGTACGGCGACATGTGGTACGGCACGATGTTCATGCTCGCCATTTTGTGCTCCTTCTTCCATTTCATGCGGCGATTCTGGAACCAGATCTTGATCTGGCGCTCGGTCAGGCACAGAGCGTGGGCGATCTCGATGCGGCGTCGCCTCGTGAGGTAGCGGTTAAAGTGGAACTCCTTCTCCAGCTCGAGGGTCTGGTACCTCGTGTAGGACGTCCGTTGGCGTTTCGTCTCACCGTTTGCATTTACGGTACCTGTCGAGAGAACAGACGATATAAATAAGTCATTGTTTTAGATCCATTGTGGAATTTTAAAGTAGAGAAATGTAGTACAAATTGAAAAGCCGTCATTCGAATCAAATGATTATTCTTTTGCCCTGGTAAAAATACTCAATGTTAGTAATGACCGAATAACCAAAAATTATTGTTTGTTTTTTGCGATTTTTCGGATGAAATTGTATTAAAATATCACGTGCGTTTAAAAAATCGGTTGATGACAATTTAACTGTTTCAAAAATTTGAAAATAGTTTTCAACTACTTCAAATGCTATAATATTACTTTAGATTTCTTACACTAGATGGCGAGTATGCTTTTATCTGTAAATCCGCAAGTGGCAAAGTTAAAGTAATTGTATAAGTCAAACTAGAAGTTTTGCTTTGATCACAGTAACTCGCCTTATAGTACTTATACATGAAACTGGACCCGGCCAAGCAGCTCGTCGATCTGCTTGGGCGCGTATGACTAAATTACCACGGGCCCATGAAAAAAAAAAAAAAAATGAAAAGCGCACGATTAATTGTCGATAGTAAGAGAAACCTGTACGCGTTGCAGCCCATATTCAGATGCATTGTACACGATCTTAACAGAATGAGCTCGAAACCGCAATCTGTATATCAATGCGCGAGGCAATTACATGTAAAATAATAATTGCAACTACTCGTTACCGCCCGCGATTACGATCAAAGTGTATCGAACGAGACCGCTTGTGTGCGAATGCGCGCGGCAAAACCAGTAATTAGTATGCCAATACACGAAACGCGATTATTTCATTACTCTTGAAAGCTCTCGAAATTGCAACGCCGCGCGTGCAGTGGGGCTATATTTATAAGCTGAGGGCAGGTGTAGGTGAAAGCTTCGAGCAATAAATAAAGCCGAGAAGTACTGCGCAGAGATCTTATGGGTATATCTTGAGCTTTCTCGTATGTATAAACACTCGCAAGATCGGCATGACGAGCTCGTTAATTCATTTCAACGAGTCGTGCTTAATGCGCGCGAGGGAGCTTGCGTGGTATACTGGGCTACTACTCTTGGCAGCGAGAATATCGCGAGCTCGAAGCCGCACAAGATAAGCTCGTCGACATTGTACAACTGCGACGCCGTGCAGATGCACTTTTCGCAAGCGTCGTAAATAATTTTCCGTGACCATACTTTATTATTGTCGCTCTATATACCAGAAAAGCTCGACGAGCAATTCGACGCGAGCCGCGGGAGAGTAATGCCGTCTAAGTATCCTATAAGGTACGATAACCGATGCGCGACGCGCTCAAGAATTTCAAGAGAAAGAGATGGTCTTTATAATCTCAATTAATTTTGACACCCAAACGGCGGGATTCACACATTCAGATTGAATGATTAATTCAGCGAGCGGCTTTTACGCGCGTTTGCTGCAATCGCTGATACATAGCTCACTGGCATTTACGAGTCAAATTGTGAATTACTGCAAATGCAATGGCCCTTTGCTTCACGCCGTTTGAGAGAGTGTCTATTTCAAACGTAAATACCGAATGGATAAATTTTATCGTATATATCACGCGTGTCTACTCGCTGAGATTGCATAATATTTACATTCGCGTGCATTATAACGCTTAAAAAATATTTAACTCGATTAATGAGAGAATTATAACGTGCGAAGGAAGAAAAATTATTCACTTAAAATCGTATTTTTCTCAAGTGCATTCAAACAATGAAACAACTAATCATCAAGTGGCTGAGAGGATACGTGCCGTGTATGAGAAGGCGAAAATCTAACGGGACTTATTAAAAAGCAACTTCTGCGTTGGAAACGCGTACATACGAAATGAATTAAATATTATTTCTCGTCGAGCTTAAATAATAGCTCTCGACACCGATGTAACGTCGAGCGAGAAAGACGTAAGACGCATTAAAAAAATGCTCGCTTTGCATTCAATAACACATGTATACGTGAATCTTTTCCACTCTCACACACAGAGTAAGTACTGTCCTTAAGCGAGCGAACGTACACCTATTCACGGATCTTCACTCTCTCTCTCTCATATGTACATGTACTCGTGGGCGAGCATTGCGGATATTAAAGAGGCGGCTCATTTACGGCATTAATGAATGCACTATTAATAGTCGAGAAACTTGTGCACGCGCTCGCGCCTACAAGAGTAAGGTGAATAAGCCAGGCTTCTCGAGCTGCCATCGTTGCACGAGCCTCGTACGGAGTCGAGAGAGAGAAAAAAGGTGAACTTATACAAGGAGTGAAACGAGCAGCGAAGAGAAGGTATATTATAAAGGCCAAAAGCGCGCGGGGAAGGAGATCGTATAATATTATACATACGTACGTATTCGTACGTGCGAGCAGAATCGAAGAAGCAGAAGAAGAAGAAGGATGTAATATAAGCGCGGATAGGGGTTACACATTGCGCCTAGTGGGAGGTAAGATGGAGGGTGTAGATGGAGAAACGCGAGTTCGAGTGATATATATTTAACGAATTGCATTCGCGATTGCATTACGGCTTCGAAACGATGCGCGGCTCATTACGTCGCAGGTACTCGAGAAAATAATCGCGCCGATCGTATTTGAGGATAATTTTAACTGGATTCCAGCCCGAAGAAAATATAGCTGAGAAATAATTTTTTTCCCCATAGCACAGCGCAACAGCAGCCTGCGACTAATGATCCGAGGTTGCAATTTTTGTCCGCGCGCTGCCTTTGGCTAAAGACCAACGTTATCGTTTTCCTCCCGATGTAACACGTTTTCTTCGTCTTTTTTAATAAATAGCCTCACGCATGGGCGACACCTTCGAGTGTAAATACGCGCGCGCCTGCGACACCCTAGTCTGTGAAAACATTCAAGCTTTGCTGAACACGTTATACCAAGTCAGCTGTTTTTCAGCCGTCCGCTTATACGTCGCGCTCATGTGTAAAATTCTTCGCGCGAGTGCAAGAGATTTTTTTTTGCAAAGGCTCGCTCGCTCTTGCAATTTATGCAAACAAGAAATTCATACATTTGTTTCTTTTAAAAGTAATATGTGTGTGCGTGTGCGTGCGTCCGAAGCGCCCAGGCGCGTCAGCGCTCGATTCGTGGCTCTCCGCAAATGGAATTTTAATGAAAGTCTGATTTTTGACTGATGATGAGATGTCAAGCTGCTTTTTGTTACCGCTGTGCTGGATATTGAATTATTTTAACGCCAGTTTGTCTCCGCGCTGCGGACTGGATATCCATTACCGGATTCCAATAAAACGCACGGAAAAATATCGCGATGTATATACAGGCGATTTCGACCGATGCACGGGTCTTTGGCAAAATTAAACAATGGACACACACACATGCAGAACTGCGAGAGAGAAAGTTCCATATCTACCGCGAGTGCCGTGCGATTATCTATCCAACTTTATACGCACGCAGATATCGTATACGTATATCAGGGGTCGGCATCTTTTTCGCGGTCCCCTTATATATCGCTATACGAATACGAATGGTATAACAACAGTGTGCACAACGACCGAAGTCGAATGATTAATTATCTTTTGAGTTTCGCGCGCAGACTCGTGTGTGTTTGTGTGTACGGTATATAGATATATGTATGAGCGCGAACACACGTACACCTACCCATTGGATGCCTAAGCTAACGGGTCGCGAGTCTTGTTTCTTTTGTTGCCAACTTTTGTGCATGTAAAGAGAGAGAAAGAGAGAGAGAGGAAAAGGTCATTCATGATTTTTCAACACGATTCATTAACGATTCGTCAATGAATTCTCGGAGGATAAAAATAAATGAACGAGCGATTGAATAAATGATGAAAAATTGCACTCAACTTGGAAGCGTGCTCAATTGTCCATTAGTTAAACCCTCATTTTGTTTCTTCTTTATTTTAATAGTCGAAACAAGAAATCAAATTAAAAAAAATTTGCTCAAATTCACATTTCTTGTCGACTGTCAAAAGAGAAAAATAAAAGTAAATCAATGAATACACAATGTTGCACGTGAGTTCATTAGTCATCCAAAAACAGTTCGTACTATGAAAAAAAAAAACAAGATTGCTACTAGTTTGAACTTTTTGATTTCTCTCTTTCACCGCGTCTTCGATCAAAACTCATTTATCACAATTTCTCAAGCAAAGTCCTCGCAATAATACACACAAATTTCTATATGAACTGTGTAAGTGTTACTTTTTTTTCTTTATTCTCAATGGAGGACATTTTTATTGAAATCATTAAATGAGAGTGCGACCTGAATTTTTAACATGAAAATAAGACGCAAGTAGAAAAAAATAAAGTGCTAATTTTTACAAATGACAAAGATTGCATTGAAAGCTCGGCTGTGACTTTATTTAGCTAATTCACTTCTATAATGCGATGTATACTTGAGTGCATACATAAAGCCAGCCGAAAATCAACGCTTGGTATTCACGAATAAAAAATCACACTCGGATGAATCCCAGGCTAACACTCAGCACTTCATTTTTAAAGCACCAAACGAGCAGATTCGCACACACACTGAAAATTTTCTCTACCCGTAATGCGTGTACGCGCGCGCGTGTGTGTTCAAGTATATACGCGAGCGAGCCAAATGATAAATGGAGTGCGTCGACGATGCGCGACGACGCAGCGCACTATGTGTCAAATGTATACGCAGTGAACTGGCCTTATAATGCCAGCCCACGAGACTTTTCATTTCTCAAATTCGCATAGGTGTACGAGAGAGCTCCGAGCTCTATACACGATTATTAGAACATCGTATACGACTCGCACCGGAAGGGCGTTTAGCTATGCTCGACGTACGTGTGTTTCGCGAGAGCACGTGTATCGCAGCTCACGGGAGAGTGATAAAACAACAGGTTGCTCATCTTCGATTCTTTTTTCCTTTCCAACGAAAGAGTTTATTTTCGTACTTGTTCGCATATCCGTTTCTTTTAATTGAGATCTTGGTTTTCCGACAAGCTCGCGCGCACAAATGCCCTCGCTGTGCGCGAGATACGCAAACATATCATGCTCGACTGAATTCGC